CGAACAGCAGTCCGATATCACATTGGAGGTTGCTGCAGAGGGCATCATGGCTGCGCTCGAGGCGGGTCGATCTATGCCCGCTGCGACCAAGGTTCATCTCAGAGCGCTAGTGAACAAGTTTCTAGTTGCCGGCGCCGAGGCTGCAACCCAGAAAGATGGTGAGGTACGAGAGCCTGTGCTGAGGTTGCTGCTCGGCAGACTCAAGGGTCACATTCTAGCCAGATTAGCGGTCGCCAGTGCCAGCGAGAAAGTCAAGGTCACCAGCACAGCCGGCGAGAGGTTGGCCGGGCTTGGCCTGGCTGAGTTCGTAGACAAGGTCCGGGACATGGTCGAGATGATTGGCAAGGTGTCGACGGTAGACAGGGACGCGCATGGACCCTGGTGGGATAAGGTTGCCGAGGTTGCGGAAAGGCAGAGTTCACCATCGTCATCATCGTTATCGTCGTCGTCGCCGCCTCCGCAGCAGCAGCAGCAGTAGTGATTGTACATCATCTTTGCTGTAAAGGCATTTTGCATGAGAACATTTCGTCTGGAGGAAATGGCATGGCAAACATAAGGATTTGGGTTTTCCAATTCGCTGTTCTCTTTGTCTTCTTTTCTCCCCCCACCCCCCTTTTCTTTTCTTTTCTTTTCGTTCCTTCAACTACCCCTGGCTGCCATTGGCAAATTGTCTTGCCGAGTTGCAATGCGGGGATGGATGGGTGGATGGTTTGCGGCGGCTGTTGTGTGGGTTTGCGGTTCAACAAACACAACGTCCTTTCATGCGTAGCATTTCGTCTAGGGCGTTTGGTGATTGGGATTTGGGTCTGTGGGATGGATGGATTTAGATTAATTGGTGCTTCATTGCCCTGTCATCTGGAGTAGTCAAGGGTTTCTAACTCTCACTCTGTCCTTTCCATGTTCTTTGTTGGTAGTAAAGGATTTGTTATTCTTCTTTTTTTTTTTCTTTTTTTTTTTTCCTCATCATCATGATGGTAGCGGCTATGGCAATAACAATAGCGATGGAATCTTTTGTGCCTGCCTCTTTCCAGGTATCCGACATTGAAATTTGATATCCATTCTTTGCATTTGGCTTTACATGATCTTGGAATAGCCTGCTATTATACATATTCTTAGTTGTCGGCTTAAGAAGGCGGATGAAACGATGATGGGCAGGTGAGTTCGGCCAAGCAAGGTACAGTACGTACCCCTGTGTATCACCCACCACGAGCTGCATCGCGGGATGCACCTGCACCCCATCACGAAAAAAAAAATCACTAAAAATCCCCGACTGCACGCACGGTGGAACTCCACATGCAACATGACCCCGCTTTCAATTCACTGGCTGGTGCTTCCATTTGAGATTCCATCCCTGATGTGGAAGCTGCAACTTCGAATTCCCATCGAGCCAGCTGCCTATTTTTCTTGTTTCGTGTCCTCTCCTTCCTGTTTGCGAAGCCGGTGGGGTGCAACTCTCGCCGGCTATCCGCGGTGCTTGTTCCTGTTCTAGGTGTTGTGTCAGGAAATCAACTGCCGCGAGTTGTCAATTGACAAACAAATTGTGCTGCCATTCACCTTCCGTCATCAGATTCTCAATTGAGTGAGGGGCAGAGGTGGCATCCACTCGGTGGGGTTCCATCCACTCAGCTTTATCGGTCGATTGAGTGTGCTCTCCAGCTGCCCCCCGTTCCTCCCAGACGGGTATTTCCTCTTCCACCTCAATGCTCCGATCAACTTCAACCGTTCTTGCCAAAGGACGTTTTTTAAGCCAACATTTGCCTTCGACAGTCCTGAAAGCGACATCCAGGACCGTTTCGAGCCTGCACTACCCCGCCAAAGGCTTGTCCCACATAAAACCAAGAGCTACCCCGCGTCGATTGCCCGTTCGCTCCCCCGCCGCAGCTGGTGTGTTTACCATCTCAAGTCGAGCCTGCTCCCACGCCTCGCATCGGAGGAGAAGAGAAAACATGACAGATAGAGACATTCTTCCCGATAACTTCAAGCCCGTCCATTATGACTTGGTCATTACGGACCTGGACTTTAAGACCTGGTCTTACAAGGGCACCGTCCGGTATGTCTGAAGCTTCAAAGACCGGGGACCTAGATAAATTTGGATGAGGACTTGGGGAAGTAGCTGGGCGCTGATAAAATGGCAGAATCGATGGCGAACTCGTCAAGCCGACGTCCGAGATTGTCCTGAATACTCTCCAGCTCAAGCTCCTCAGCTCCGAAATCGTCGTCAGCCAGACCAAGAACGACCAGACATTGCAGTCCAAGGACTTCTCAGTGGACACCAAGTCCCAGAGAGCCACCATCAAGTTCCCTCAGGAGTTGCCAGCGTCGTCCAAGGCCTCGCTGAAGATTGACTTCATTGGTGAGCTCAACCATGACATGGCTGGCTTCTACCGCAGTCAGTACAAGCCGGCTGCTCCTCCTGCAGCAAGCGTTCCCCACGATGACGAGTTCCATTACATGCTCAGCACCCAGTTTGAGTCTTGCGATGCCCGCCGTGCTTTCCCGTGCTTCGATGAGCCCAATCTTAAAGCAACCTTTGACTTTGCTATCGAGATTCCGGACGACCAGGTGGCTCTCTCCAACATGCCTGCGAAGGAGACCAAGTCGACTGGCAACGGCAAGAAGCTGGTTTCGTTCGAGCGCAGCCCCGTCATGAGCACATATCTACTCGCCTGGGCTGTCGGCGACTTTGAGCACATTGAGGCCTTCACCGATAGGGAGTACAACGGCAAAAAGATCCCAGTCCGTGTTTACACTACCCGCGGCCTCAAGGAGCAGGGCCAGTGGGCTTTGCAGCACGCCCCCAAGATCATTGACTACTTCTCTGAGCAGTTCGAGATTGACTACCCTCTTCCCAAGAGTGATATCCTTGCGGTCCACGAGTTCACCCACGGCGCCATGGAGAACTGGGGCTTGGTTACATACCGCATGACTGCAATCCTCTTCGACGAGAAGCTCTCCGAGGAGAGATTCCGCAACAGAATTGCTTACGTCGTTGCTCACGAGCTCGCTCACCAGTGGTTCGGCAACCTTGTCACCATGGACTGGTGGGATGAGCTCTGGCTCAACGAGGGTTTCGCTACATGGGCTGGTTGGCTTGCGACGGACCACCTGCACCCCGAGTGGGATGTGTGGCCGCAGTTCATCAACGAGGGTATGGACCAGGCTTTCGCGCTGGATGCTGTCCGGTCTTCGCATCCCATCCAAGTCGAGGTCCGCGATGCGCTTGATGTGAACCAGATTTTCGACAAGATCAGCTACCTCAAGGGCTGCTCGATGATTCGCATGCTGGCATCCCATCTCGGCATCAAGACCTTCCTGAAGGGTATCGCCATTTACCTCAAGAAGCACCAGTATGGAAACGCCAAGACCCAGGCCCTGTGGGCAGCTCTCAGCGAGGCCTCTGGTGTTGATGTCAACACTCTGATGCAAAGCTGGATCGAGAAGGTTGGCTTCCCCGTATTGACTGTTACCGAGGACTCCCAGAGCATCTCTGTCAAGCAGTCTCGCTTCCTGTCAACCGGCGATGTCAAGCCCGCGGATGACGAGACTACCTGGTGGGTCCCTCTTGCTTTGAAGGGCAAGACCGGCTCGCAGGAGATTGATCCCCTGGCGCTCACAAGCAAGGAATCCAAGATCGAGGGTGTCAGCAACGAGTTCTATCAGCTTAATGCCGGCGCAACTGGCTTTTATCGTGTCAATTATCCCGAGTCCCGGCTCAAGACTCTCGGTACTCAGCTCGATCATCTGACTACCGAGGACAAGATCTTTATCATCGGCTCTGCTGCTGATCTTGCCTTTGCTGGATATGGTACCACCGCAGCTTTGCTGTCCTTCCTCCAAGGCCTCAAGAACGAGACCCATTACCGTGTCCTCAGCCAAGCCCTGGATTCTCTCGCAACTCTTAAGTCGATTTTCGGAGATGATGAGCAGGTCAAGGCAGGGCTCGAGAAGTTCACCCTCGAGCTCATCGAGAAGGGCCTGGCACAGGTGGGCTGGGAGGACAAGCGGGGCGAAGACTTCAACACGACTCTTCTGCGCAAACGGTTGCTTCTCACCGCCGTCGCCAATTCTCACGAGGAGTACGATAAGATTTAACCCTTTCCCAACCTTAACCTCGGTAACATGCTCTTAACTAACGTTTTACAGGGTTCGTCAAGCTGCTTTCAAGCGGTGGTCTACCTACCAATCCAACCCCACTGAGTCACCAATTCCCGCCAATCTTCGTGCTCCCGTCTATCGCTCCGCCATCGTGTCTACTCCAAAGGAGGCAGTGGCGGCGCTGAAGAAGGAGTGGTACACCACGCCCGCCATTGATGGCAAGGAAATTTGCCTGCAGGCCCTCAGCCACACATCCGACGAAGCCATCATTAAAGATGTGATCCTTCCTTTCCTCTTCAACGCTTCACCCCCGGCAGCACCGGCTGACTCGGTCCCCGGTGCCGACATGCACATCCTCTCCGGTGGACTTGCCGGCAACCGTGTCGCCAGACCTCTCATGTGGACTTACCTGAAAGAGAACTGGGATCAGCTCAATGCCAAGTTGGGTGGCAACCCCATCCTGATTGACCGTCTTGTTAACGTCAGCTTGGGCAAGTTTGTTGACTTTGAGAGCCTCAAGGAGCTCGAGACTTTCTTTGCTGGTGTTGACACCAAGGGCTTTGACCGGACTCTTGAGCAGGTCAAGGATAAGGTGCGCGGCCGGGCGTCATACAAGCAAAGGGATGCTGAGGGCATCAAGCAGTGGTTGGTCAGTAATGGATATGCGTAAGCGTGGGCTTTTAGGTATTGCAAAAAAGGGAGAGAAAATAGGTATATGTATCATTTAGGATGATGGAATAATCATGGAACATCACAAAAGCAACAGCTTTTTTTAAGTTACCTTAGTCTTGACAAAACTAATGCTGCCGCCTCCAAGTCAAGTCACAGTCACATCCCATCAGTGGTGCAGTAAGCGATATAATCATAAGGCAGTTAAGGAAACCTAACCTTCACCAATATCTCAAGGGCGTGTGGCTCAGTTGGTAGAGCGCCCGCTTAGCATGATGTCCACTTTCGGAGATCAGTAATATGCGGAAGGTCCCCGGTTCGATTCCGGGCTCGTCCAAAGTTTATTTATTTTGTATTTTATTCCACCACTCGTTAACTCTTTTTTTTTTACGTTTCTGTTGGTTCCCATTCGAATTGATTTCTTTTTGAAATTTAAAGAAACAGTAATCTTGACAAGTTGCCTTGTATCTTATCCTTTGATTTCTTTATTTGGCTTTGTTTGAATATTCATTCCTTATTTCTAAAAAGTACCTAGGTAATCATTATGTGGGGCACATATTTATCAACCTCTACATTGTCTCTAAATTTCTGCGTCTCGGGGCCTTATTTCTTTGATTGAATTTTTTTTTTTTTTTCATTGGAAACGGTTTAATGTGCAGGTTTCTTTCGGCTTGAGATTCTCATTTTCAATTACCAAAATCTTTCTCTCTCTTTTTCCCTCTCTTTCTCTTTCTCCTTTCGACCGTATCAGAATGGGTAGCTAAAATGAGACACAAGCTGCTGGTAATTATATTCCATGATTTTGATCAAGAACTCAAAAACCGAAAAAAAACTAAAAAAAAAAAAACAAAAAAAAAACTCAGAGATATTGATATTGGGGGAGTAAATTTATGCTGAGAGGACCTATACATGGTAAAGGGGAGGGATTCAATTACTGGGGAATATTTTTTCCCCCTCAGCCGCGATTAGCTAAGAGATACCTAAATAGATAGATAAGGTAAAGTAAATAGCTAGGTACCCAAGGTAGGGTAAAAAAGTATTGGTTGAAAGTTGAGAAATCGTTCTGCCAAACCCCCCAAACCTTTTAAATGTCACATGGACGGTTCACATTAGCTAGGTACTAGGGATTCAAGGATATTGTTATTCCACTAAACAAGGCTTACCATTTCATAACTGTAAATATGAGAAAATATAAAAAAGAATTAAAAAAAATTTATTATTCAGAACCCACACAACCCGTCACATGCCCGCCACAGTCGATCAATATCGGCATACCCATTTCAGGAATCCCTGTTTTTTTTTTTTTTTTTTTTTTTTTTTTTCTCCCTCTCCTCCAAGGAAAAACTTTTTGGAAATTTAAACCCAACGGCGGGGAAGTTCCGCTCAGACGCGAACAGGCGGGGTTCAAGTTTTTTCTCTCTCGTTTGAGGGTCACGGCCGGCCGGGCGGTCATGGTTGCAGTCAACATGTGACATGATTTAGGTATACAGGGCACATCACACACATCACACACACACGCACGCACGACGACATGAAGAAGGACCTCGACGCGTGAACCACTGCAGTCTATCTAGCTCCGTGACCCCATCAAAGCGTGGGGGTTATTTTTCTTTTCTCCCCTCCAATGATTTACCGGGAGGGGGGCTCGGGAAGAGAGAGAGAGATAGAGGGCGGGGGGAGATGGAGGAGAGGGGGGGGGGGAGAGACCGGGAGGTAACACTGGTATGTAATGTTCTTGTACATGGATACATACCATACTACCTTATGCAGATTAGATCCTTTTCTCCAATACTAATAAGTCTTGTTCTCCATAAAACTTTGGAACACAACACACAAGGCAATTGAAAAAAAAAGTAGGTACCTAATGCGAGGGAAACCCGTAAAAGTCTGCCAGTGCCAGTGCCAGTGGGTGGACACGTTGAACTTACCAACCTACGTACCTACCTACCGTACCTAGGTGGACAGATAGCTTATCTAGGTATCCGTTACCTAGATAGGTAACGTCGGGGAAAGTGGAACTACCTTATAAAAATGTAAGGTTATGTATGATTCGAGCAGGTTGAGCTTGAAACAGCACCAAAAACCCGTTCATTTTACTTTTTATTTCTGTGTTTTTTAGCGCGAGCCGGTATAGAGTATAGAGTGAGGTGATAACGTGGATTATGATTTTCCCGTCGTCTCGGGGGGGATCATTCTTTTCTATTTTTGGAGACACGCGTGAAAGGTCTGTGGTGGATGGTTGCGTCAGCCACAGAGTAACGCCTAACCCGCAATTCGCTCTCAACGGGCATGACGTCGGGTCGTGGTCCGCGATAGGGGCGGTGAGTGGTTCATGTACGTATGTGAGTGCGGGATAGGGCTTGAAGAGGAAAAAAAGTTATCTCGAGGCGAACGGGAGCTGAGAATGGAGGGATGGAATGGACCGTCGGTACCGAAGTTAGGGCTGATTCCAGACTTGCTTCGCGGTACCTAACTTGGAATGGCATCAGACGAGATGGCATCAGAGAGGTTGGTTTTACGGCAGCAAACAAGGTAGACTAACGGACTATTCGGGGCGGAGGATCTGGTCGTGTGACTTTTTCTGGGTTTGAAAAAAAGTCACTAAGTCCACCTAGTCACGGAAAGGAATATGGCCCAAGACCCGGTGCTGAAATCAGACATCATCTCCGGGCCCGGGGATCTGAGAACCAGATTTGGAGGACCAAGTTGATCGTGATCGAGGGCCACGATAACCTCGGCTCAAGCCAGGTTCAAGACGTAGCGGTTGCGACGTGTGTTGGACTAGGAGGCTTTTTGGAAAGATTACGGTACGCTGGTGGCTCGATTCGGTGATGTTCCGCTTATTATGTTATCACAGGCCTGATACATCCTAGGCTGACAACCAAACAGTTGGCAACAAACGATTCAAGCCACTTGATACTACCTGTTCACACGCTGTGACGCATGATTGCGGGGTTAGTTACGGAATTGGAGAGTGGTAACAGGAGAACGGCTCGTAACGTGCGCGTGTGGGATGGGTGCGAGCATGCCATTGCGGCGCGAGCGGGAAGGAAGGGAAGAAGAAGTCTAGAGATGAGTTTGGGAAACGCGGGTGGCGGTGCTTAACCTTGGGGGTTGAGACGGAGTTTTCTCGTGCTTTTTTCTGAAAGACGTGCTCCTGCCCAGATGAACTCGGCTCATGAGACAATTAGGTATCATCCATCCTGATGGAAATCTCTCTTTAGAGCGTGCAACGTGGGAAAAAAAAAAGACACGATGCCATAACGGGAGGTATTTGCAAGAAGGGCTCCGAGGGTTTGGTGTTGATTTTGGGTATAGCGTACTGGGCACGAGGACGTGCGACCCGCCAGGAAACACGGGACTCTTTGTTGCCCTGCCAGGTGTGCGTAGGTATGAATTACGGAATCATGGTAATATCAGAGTGGGTTGGGACGAGGGTGGGTGAGGGTGTGTTGATGTTGGATTGGTGAGAGAGGTGGTTGTGATGGGTATGGTGATGTTGGTTTTGGTCCGTTTGATGGAACCAGGTAGAGAGAGAGGATGGGATGCGGGATGGGAGTGGCTTTGATCGCAAACCCAATCAAAAAGGGAAAAGGTTTGAGCTGACAGCGATTCATGCGATTCATGCGATCCCCCCAAAAAAAAAAAAAAAAAAAAAAAAGTCAAATGAAGCATGTATCACACCCAATAACAGCGATTGGTGAGGGTGGCCAAATTCCCGGCTCGTCTGCCCGGTTCAACCAGGCAAATGATGGTCTGGGCAAGGGGAAAGGCGAATCAAGCACCCGGGAAGCGAGGAAAGCACGAGAGGGGCATTTTCGGAGTTTGAGCCGTCTGCGCAAACAAACCGAAAGGAAAGTGCTCATCACGGGAGAACCGGTTGCTTGCCTCTGAGGTTGGTGATTTGACGTGAAGGCCGAGGATTTCCCGACGCCCCACCGTTTTCATGTAGGACCCTTGGAAGGAGTCAAGGACCCAGAAAATCTGAGACGATTGGCAATTAAAACGGGGAAAAGAGTGCTGGATGTGCTGGGGAAACTTTAAATCATGAGCTAAACAGGCAGAGGCCCGGGCAAAAAAGGAAAAACCCAACTTTGAGCCCGCGAAGTTGCCTCGAGAGGAATTCCAGACATTTGAGAGAAATCTTTTAAACCGCAACGTCGGGTGGACGCGGCAAAGCCCGCAAGGGTTAATAGGGCATACATAGTATTTGTAATATCTGTCCTTGGGCTAATTCCCACGCTTTCCCCCGTTGTTTGGGTTCCCCCATGTTTCCTCCCAGACGTGGCGGCTCCCAGCGCTGGGAAAAATTCCCGGGGTTGAGGCGCTAAAACACTAACGCCAGGGCCGTCTGGGCCGTCCGTGCCAGCCAATCACAGGGCGTGGGTTGGACGATTTCGGATGCCGCCCGAAGCTTGGGAATGGCGGGCCGTGAGGCGGTCCAGCGGCGCCACTCTCTTCAGGCGATGCGGAGTCGTCGTTCCGACAAGGCGCCCCACCGGCGAGCGATTGGGAACAGATTGACCAATGGCAGGCATCTGGGGTTTCTTGCATGGCCGAGGAGATCAGATTATTCCGGATGTGTCTTCCTGGACAAAACGCTCTGCAAGCTAGCAATGCACTGGCCGCTGGGTCTCAGCAGCCCTCCCAGCGGGCTGCCCCTCCCCCGGCCGCCCCCCCCCGCAGTACCGACAAGACCTCCCCACCGTCTATACTAGCGCAGCGCATGATGTATATCGTCGATTCGACGTTCTGGACGCCCACGAAGCCATTCCGAGCCACGGTTCAACGGCCCTCGCCGGCGCCGCATTCAGGGTCTCCCGTCTGACGAATCCCACTCTCCAGACTCCCAGGCGCGATATGCTCCATGCTCCATGCTCCATGCTCCCACGCTCACCCTGCCGCTTGGGAACATTGGCGTTTCTCCCAGCGGCATGGGGGGGCTAGGTGCGGAAATGGGGCCAAATGCAAGCCCCTGATGGTGAATCTCGATAACACGCACCTGAGCTTAGCTGACGAGCGTATCACTTTGTAATGCAAATCCATGCTGGGCGGAGAGAGATGCACCGAGTGAGGGTCGGCGTCTAGGCCCAGGGAGTCTACATTGGCGAGAATGCTTAGCGGTTCCGGCGCAGTCCCAGCATTCTGCCTAAAAAGCGCACAAGGAGCAATCTTTATATTGATGCCCGCCGCCGCGTTCCGACGCCTTGGCTGGCCCGATATCCAAAGGCGCGGGATAGTGCATACTGTTGCCGCTTGCAGCGTACAGCTGGAGGGCCCGCCGATCTTCTGGAGATTTATCTAGGGCGAGTGCCCGCTGCCCGCTGCCCGGCCGCC